CACTCACCTGATCTAACGCCCTGTGATTTTTTTATGTGGATACCGCAAGGCAGAGGTTCTTAAACATCGGCCCACAAAACCTGCTTCAGCTGAAGAATGTTATTGGGCAGGAAGCAGCCCAAATTCCGGTGCACAAGTTGGAACGTGCAGAGGGGAACTTCAGAAAACAGTTGCATCAGTGCATAGAGAACGGTGGCCACCACCTTCAAGATATTTTGTTTAAAACTACATGATTTAAAACTTTAAAGTATGTTCGTTCATTAGGTAAACATAAATTTTGACTATCAGCAATAATTTTTCTTTTATTCACCTTCAAAAAAAGGAAGTTTCTGCGCCCCACCCTCTACCTTTGCTTTAATATGAAATGTGCTCATGACTATTGGTATGGCCCACATAGTACAGAGTACTTGAAACTTTTTACTTCACAATATGTGTCATATTTTACCTGAGACATGTTACTGCTTAAATTTCTATTTTAGATGCAAGGGTTGCAAACCTGGTCTTATTACATATCCATCTGCATGAATACAGTATCCCACCAGATGATGGTGAAATAGATGGAAACATGTTGTGGGAAAAACTGGGCACATTACAATCAGATGGTAAATATGTATTTATTGAATGATAATCTTCTCTTTCATCAGTTCAGATTTACTGAAGGAATATAAAGATATTTCCAAAGGAAAAGAAGCTATACAAGTTGAAAGGCTGACAACTCAACCTCGCCAAGAGGAATGCCTGACTGTAACAAATACAGTATCAAATACATAGTTATCATATGTAAATATATCCATCATACTAATAAAGGAAACGTGTATAAGAATGGCAGACAAACTTTACACTTAAAAGGTTAAAACACATTCCTGTGACCATAAAATTAACTCCATGGAGCAGACTCCACCTTGAGAGGCTAACAATCATTCAGCTAGTTAAAGATTCAGTGCCTTTTATGAAAACATCAGTCATTACTGCACTCACTGACCATCACTGGACCCCATCCTTCACCAGATGAATTCAGTCTACACATTCACAACAACCTACTTATTAAAAATTAATGTTGATGTTATCCTCCCACCTACATACTGACACCAAGAAACTAGAAATGTAAGGTATATTTGCTGTGCACTGGAGTACAGAGAAAAGAGTACTTCCAGTTGTATGTTCTAATTTCTGCCATACCTTTTCTTACATAGAATCAGTCCACTTATTTGTCAGACTTTGTAGTGCTGAATGCCAGGCAAATAGTTTTATTTAAAAAGAAGCACTAACATGTCTGAAATGATCTCTGCTAAGAGAGCCCATAATTAAAACTAAGATCCTTATCCAGAAGCTGTTGAAGTCAATGCATTATATTCATTAGGATTGTCTGGAGCTGGCTGAATTCTTTCCTAGAAAGTATGCTGCAATTATGTTAAAATGAGCAAAGGTTAAATATCCCATTAGTAACCGTCAACCTCAGTATTAAAGACTATTGATCATTTCCTATTCCTTATTGTTATTAATTAACATCTCCTCCAGATTAATTATGCCAACTGTCAATTTATTAATCATCAGCTAACAGGGTTTGCTCTGGTGAAGTGAATAAAATGTTTCACAGGAACCTGCTACCTCTGTCCCTAGGGCATTAAGTTCTACTCTGAAGATGGACACAGCAGTGGCAACCATCTATGAGACTACACAGTGTCATATCCCTGAAGCATGGAATCATAACCTTCACTGCTGTGAGAACCTCAAATCCAACAAGGTGAAATAATTTTCATTTCTTCACTTGCAAACCAGTGTCATAAAAACTGCAGGTATATGAATCACTATGGTACAGCCAATGGATCCAGAACCCAATTTTGCTTTTGGGAGGAATCTCCTTCCCCTCTCTCAAGCATAATCCTCCCCTCCCTTTCTCTTTCTCTTCTGCCAGCATTTTACACCCTTGTTCAACTATACATGACCAAGTAACTGACACTGAAGACTGTGTATTAACACATCAAACAAAGCTGTTCAAAACTGGAAAGAACACCTGAAAAGTTAAAATGAGTTTATAATGAGGCAATAAATACACCAGTACTATGCTCTGAAGCATGAAATACCAGCTTTGAAGAATGCACAACTGAAGGAAGGTTCAACATTACAACTGCTTATATAACCATATTAGATATGTATAAATGTTTTCATAGACAGCAAAGGGAAGATGGTGCAACATTTTACAAAATAAGTACAAAAAATGTATATATAGATAAGTCAATTAAGTGTGGTAGGCCACGCCATAGCTCAAGCAGTTAGTCACTGGCTTCCCATCGCGGCGGCCTTGGTTCGATCTCGGGTCTGGTCAAGTGGGATTTGTGGTGGACAGTGTGGTGCTGGGGCAGGTTTTCTCTGAGTACTTTGGTTTCCTCTGCCAATTTTCATTTCACCAAATGCTCCAAAATCACCCTCACCTATCATCTGGGGCTGGTACAATAGGCCAGAAGTGGCCGTAGTACAAGGGACTTAGTCCCACCCCACTAGCAATAAAAACAAAATAAGTCAACTAATTTGATAGGCTGGTAATTAATAGCTGATTTTAATGCAAGAATAGGCAACAACAATACCAATGGAAATTTTGGCACATTTGTCAAAATGATCTACCCAAGAAAAAGATAGCAAGTGGTTAAGGTGCCATCACTCATTACATGCAATGAAATCCATATGCATCTTTACAGGAATGGCTTCCCTTCCACTAAATTGAGGTTTTTCTTAAAGGGGGGGGGTATGCAAAAAGAAAATTAATCACCTTCTTATAAGACATACTTTATACAGTTATGATAAAATAAGTTCTTTACATAGCTCATTAACCTGCGTTTGCATAAACAAATATAACTGCATGGTAACATAAAATTAATTTCTAAAATAAATTAAGTACATGAAATAAACATAACAATTGTGTCAGAACAATCTCCAGCAGAGCAAATGGGTAAATATTAATTGTTGTTTCAACTATAATCATACTATGCGAGGTCTGAGGTTCTCATGGGAGTGACCATGAAGACTACTATCTTTGGGGATGAGACACTGTGTACACTGATATGTTGGGATTTTGGACTTTATCCATCGTCCTGGTTTTTAAGATAACAAATAAAAACACGACGTTTTGGAAACTGGATCTTCCCAACATATCAGTGTGTTATACACCATCGTCAGAATCCTATAGTAGACACTGTGTAGTCTGGTAAGTAGGTACCTAGGCTCTGGAGGTCTCTTCTATCCTGAAGATTGAGATTGTTATTTCATCCAAAACACTGGTACCAATTTACCAAACTAAACAGCACCACAACCCAGAGGATACCAGGCTTCTTAACCACAGCACACTGAGATGTCAGTTCTATGTCAAGAATTTCTTACACTAAATGCGGGTTATTTACTAAATCAAAATTCATTATATGGATGAAAAAATAATGCATTGTTCATACCAGGGTTTGGTTTGGGCAAAGAATACGAAGAAAAATATTCGCTAAATATGAGATTTCAATAAATGCAAAAATACTAAATCAGGATTTCAGTGTAATCTGCAGCCAAAAGACAACTGGTATAGTCATTTTTCAGAACACAGAAAAACCATCCAACATGAACACAAGCACATCAGTTTGCTCTAGCAATACTGCAACTTTCTGACTGAAAAGGGGCAGGAGGGCAAGACATAGAGCTTACACTCTAGCCCCTACAACAGGTCTAGATTGACATTACAGCACCTAAACACAGAATTTCACATGCCCAGCTCCAAAGTATCATTATCTTTTACCAGGTCTCACAGCATGCTTTATGTTCAATGGAAATTTATAATAAAAAATATTTCACTCAAAACTCTCAACTGATTCAGACGTTATTACACCAACACAAAACATGACTATATGGACATAACAATGTTAGCCTGGCTTTCTATACAAAAAGACAAAGTGTGTTAGAAACTCATCATCACCACAACTGACAGGAGCAGCAGCATTGCCTATATAATGGACATTACAAAACAGAATCTTTCCATCATTTCAAAGGTCTGCCCAAGCTTGCTTTTTTTATTTTGCTCATAATTTGGGGTCATTTTTTAATTCATGAGAGCTAACAAACTATGCATAAATGTAATCTACAGCCGCAGTTTAATTTGTTTCATTCTGGTCCATCACACTAACAATTACAAAGACAAAAATAACACCGTCTAATGTGACTATTTAAGTTTTCACCGTCTAATGTGACTATTTAAGTTTTATCATTTGAAGACTCATCACCCTTACATGTTTCAAAGGCTGCTGTGAATGTGAAAGGTTGAACATTGTGTACATTGTGCATTTCAGACATTATATGTGTATGTATATAATTAATATCTATTGTAATAGTAGTTTCCGAAAAAGTATTGATGCCCTCTGAGGATGATCTGTAGGGATCGAAACATGTAAGCATGATGAGTCTTCAAATGATAAAACTTAAATAGTCACATTAGACGGTGTTATTTTTGTCTTTGTACAGCTGCAGTGTTTAAACATATTCCACTCTGTCTAAATTCAAACAAGTGAATAAATAGATTGTAAAGGGTTCTGACTGAGTGACTGAGATTAGCTCTTTCTAAGGGGCCCAACTGAGCACCTTCCTCACCTGAAGATGGAAAGAGGTCCAGTTTGCAAAAGGTCATGTTTTGTATTTCCTAGAATTCGGGATGATGGAAAAGTAAAAAAACCCAGTAATTCTAAGTGAATAAATACTAATACAAAGTAAACTCATCAATTTCTCTAAAACTGGAAGGATTAATAATATAAATAAAGGAGACTATCAAATAATACGCTGGGCTTTCATTACGATAAAATGACACAACAAAGGTCACAAAGAACTTCTTGAATTTACGTAACTGAATCCAAAATAATATGAATATTCTAATGTAAGCTGTTTAAAAAACTGAAACATATTCTTTATTATAGAATATTCACAAACCACAAAGATGATCTAGTGACACATGAAATTTATTAAACAAAATAGCTCACCTTATTTAATTCTTCTATCCTTCTTATCTGGTATGGTGATGTGGAAGAAGTTTCAAAGTAAACATAATCTGCAATGAAAATATAATACTGGTTATAAAAAGACATTCAGAAAATATACTTCACAATAAAAGACACTAAAGTAATTAACACACTCTACTATCTGTAGACAGACAATATCCACCAAATATTGCAGATTAAGAAGAATTCTGAACTGAATAAACTAAATTAATCATAGAAGGTAAACAAATACAAAAGAAACTGACCATATGAATTTCAGAACCACATCAGCTATGGCCCATCAACTCTGAACCAGAGTACACTGTATCTTAAGCAGGCAACCTTACAAAAGAAAAGCCCTGTGCAAGCATCTGTGAATTTCCCACCAATGTATAAATACCAGACAAACAAACAGAAAAACAAACTCCATAGCCTGTAGTCAGCAAGTGAACTATACTGACCGAGCGGCCGCCACTTGTCGGCGAAGTTAATGCCAACTTTTGTGAATAGAGGGTGTCATGTGGTCAGCACAATGGATCCCCATGGCCATTAATCTCGGTTTTCTAGACCAGAGCCACTATTTCCTTGAAATAGCTCCTCAATTATCCTCACGAGGTTGAGTGGACCCCGTCCCAGACCCACTACTCCTCAGAAAATCTTGCAGCACTGGGAATCAAACCTGGGACCTCTGAATCTGTGGCCAGGAACTCTGACCACTAGACCACAGAGGTGGTCCATATGAATACCAGAAATATGATGAAAACAGAATATAGTAAGTCTAATGACAACATAATGGTCTATGTCACTAACTGACGATGGCACACCCTCATTCCCATAGCAGATGGAGTATATCACGTATCCTGATAATATACACGGTGTCCCAGGAGGAAAAGTCAATATTCTGGGGAGGTCATAGTATCGGCCATTCTACGAAAAAAAAAAAAGTGTATATGTACATGCGTCCTACAGTTTCTGAGATAGAGCTATTTCACTGTACAGTTCCAAAAATGTTGATAAGAAAAAGATATTGCATACTGTTTCTAATACCGGTATTTTCTGTTCAAGTGACAAAGTTGGTACACTTTGCCTAGCATAATACATTTTTGAAAATTCCACCAACATCAGTGCACTCTGCAACTCGTGTAAGGACATCGCGTTGTTCGTCTGAGTGCATGTTACCATTCCTTTATGCAGGTGACAACATCCATAGCTATGTCTCAGAAACCCTTCATAACAGGACACATATACACATAAACGTTTTTGCTCAGAATGATCAATACTATGACCTCCCAGAATACTGACCCTTCTTCCTGGGACACCCTGCATACATATGAAAACACAAACAACATAAATAATCTACATATACAAAATCCAAAGCCTGCTGTGATGTCCAAAAGATGTCCACAACAGAAACTTGTGGAATTAGTGCAGTGGCTGTCAGACAGCAATCCAGTCTCAACTTGTCAAAGATAAAATTCCATTGCTGATAGCATATACGCTAAATGAAATCAAGAATTAATGTATACAAATGAGACTGAATCAATGGGAAGATCACCTGTCAAAACTATAGCCAAAATTGGTATATTTATTTCAAGGGTACCTACATTTAAGACGACTGAGAATAACATGCATTTGCATATTAAGAGTAACATGTCTAATTCCCAGGCAGCAGTGAATTGCCAAAAACAAATCTTTGTTGTTAACAGTGTTCATATTCAGTGAAATCATTAAGACTATATATGCATGTTTATATGAGTAGATTAATGGAGGGGCCATATGTGGAAACTCTAGCCAAAGATTGGAATAATTTTAAAATCTTCATATGTGACTGAAGAATGAGTCAGTTTAATGTGTTATAAACAAAATACTGTACAGTGTGTATATAATGACCAAGAATTGTCTTCACCCTTTTGTTAAATCTGAAATCACTCAGAATGATTGAGAAAAGGTCTTCACCATTTTGCTGCATTTGAAATGACTCAGAATAATGTCCAAGTGCAATTAATTCAAGGGAAGTTTATAACAGTGACATGGGATAAGTGAAGTATATGGTGGTGATACAGAAATAATAGCGATTGGCGATATTTATAAAGATTTTGTCACTATTTATCTTGTACCTGATTACCAGTCACTCAACCAACCGCTATAGCTGGTCAAGCTGTGGCCACCTTGCATCTCTGTTGGTCAATGGTGAACTAAACACTGGCCATTATGATGTTCTTTTGGCAGTTTAAAAAAGGTTAGACATTTCTGACAAAGTTTGGTCTTTCTTACATAAGCACATTTTGTTGGAAAGATCTGATCAAGACTATTATTACATAAAGTTCTTGGCATAAACCAACACAGCTGGATTTCAAAAACTTTCTAATTATCACAGGTGGCTATTTCGATGGTGTCTGTTCTTAAAAATTTCCCACTGAAATTTCAGCAGGCATTATAAATAATGCTAAGAAAGCAGTAAAGGAATTTGTATAAAACACATGCAGAATAAACATAATGCACAAACATGGCAGAAAGCTACATCAACAACGTTAACATTATGTCTTAGCACACTGCTGTACTGATACTGTTATTATTCAGCCTTATTTTCACAACCTTATGTTTCAGGTAGGACTGGAGGTTCTCATGATGATGGTTACGAAGGGTTTTAACCCAGAAGAGATAAAATTCTTGTTTGATGTTGAGACTGCTGTATAGTTCTTTCACATTGTCACATTATATTCAGTGACTGGTGCAAAAAAGAAAAAAATAACAATATTAATGGTAGCTCATACATTAGTATTAACTTTTCTTTAAAGAGTCAACCTCAATTGTGAGGGCATCAATGGGAACTAAAGAGAAGACCTGGGGAGCATCTACTTGGCCTACTTTCCTTTACAGACTTCCTAGACTCCATGATTTTAGTCCGCAAGTAAACTATACCGACTGAGCGTTACAGACTTCCTAGGCCCTAGAAAATGCTACACACTACTGATTACATAATTTATGGACATATTTCTCTTCCTTAGTTCTGCTGATATAGATTTCCACCATCTCAAAGTAATCACACATAATTTCAAAGTTTAGTATCAGGGCCATGTCCAGCCCTCCAGAAATTGGGTCATTCACTACACACAGACAAGTTCACAGAGAGCAACTGTAAGCACATTACTAGCCTGAACATAAATGTATGCGTAAAGGATTTTATTAGGTATCTGGTAGATTTAATTAGTACATCTATTTGTAGTCCTGATTACCATGTCTTTAATATTTACTATACTATTTCCATACTAAAATTAACACTTCTAGCTACAGCACAGGATAAATACATGCCTTGTGGCATGTTACCTTAAACTTCCCAGCCACCAAAAAACTAAGAAAAACTGATAACTGAAAAAATATGGAAATCAAAATAATTAAACAAATGCTGTGTCATTATCATAGCTGTGTCACCTCAAAATTTACTGCCTCCATATTAATTCTTAACTGGCATGGACAAGTCTGAGTGACTACACCTTCTGAATTCATACATTACTCCCGTCCCATAACAGATCATGACTCACTCAATAGGGTTGTGAGGGGTCAAGGATCCACATTTTCTAGACAATCAGCTCACAGATGGCAGCGAGGTTGTCAGCCTTACACACCAGCCGGCCACCCTTTAACCCTCAGGAAGATTCCTGGTACTCATTTCTGTTAGAGGCTGAGTCAACTACGGGGCCATAGTGTGGCTGGAAAGATTAGGTCAGTTGAAAAATCCAACGACCTCATCAGGAATTGAACTAGTGTAGCACCCTATATAAACCCAACAGAAGTCTCATCTTTCGTTACATAAGTTTCTTAAAATTGAATCGCCCTGTTTTCTCCCATATTCCTTTCAAGTTCTACAGGCATCCTGACGCTGATGTTCAACACCAACACCCTCAAAGAACATATTAAAACTTAAACTCCGTGGTTTTAGTCCACAAGTGAACTATACCAACCGAGCAGCTGTCGCTTGTCGGAGAAGTTAGTGCCAACTTTTAGTGGATAGAGGGTCTTGCGTGGTCAGTCCAACGAATCCACACAGCCGTTAATTTCTGTTTTCTAGGCCATAGTCGCTCTTTCCTTGAAATAGCTCCTCAATTATCCTCACGAGGCTGAGTGGACTCTGTTCCTGACCTAATACTTCTCAGAAAATCAGGTAGCACCAGGAATTGAACCTGGACCTCTGTGTAGCCAGGATCTCTGACCACTAGACCAAAGAGGCGGTCATTCACAAAAGCAAAAAAATATATGCACAAATTAATTATTAATGTATAATTCCATTAGTAACATTCTTCGAAATACTTAATGCTGTAGATATAACACAAATTAAGAAAGATACCACAACACAAAGCACATGAATTTCAAAAGGAAAGATCATGCAATTTCAACTTCATTCTATGCCTTTCTCAGACTATGAGAAATCATATAATCTGGTTAAGTAAAGGAAATGTAAAATACTTCCTGGACAGAAGGAAAGTTCATAGAGGAATGGGAAATAGTAGTTTTGTTATTCAAGAAACAAACAAACTCCCTGATATTAGTCCACAAGCACACTATACCGACTGAGCAAACACCACTTGTCGGCGAAGTTACTGCCAACTTTAGCGGATAAAGGGTGTCACATGATCAGTGCAATGAATCCCCACAACCACTAATCTCGGTTTTCTAGACTGGAACAGATATTCCTTGAAATAGCTCTTCAATTATCCTCACAAGGCTGAGTGGACCCTGTTCCAGACCCACTACTGCTCAGAAAATCTCATAGTGCCGGGAATCGAACCTGGACCTCTGTGTAGCCAGGATCTCTGACCACTAGACCAAAGAGGCGGTCATTCACAAAAGCAAAAAAATATATGCACAAATTAATTATTAATGTATAATTCCATTAGTAACATTCTTCGAAATACTTAATGCTGTAGATATAACACAAATTAAGAAAGATACCACAACACAAAGCACATGAATTTCAAAAGGAAAGATCATGCAATTTCAACTTCATTCTATGCCTTTCTCAGACTATGAGAAATCATATAATCTGGTTAAGTAAAGGAAATGTAAAATACTT